AACCTTATCGTATTTTCCTTTTAATCGTATTTTCTTTTGCTCTTGCTTTCCACTCTTGGTTTTTTACATATGGCAACACAGTCCTGCTGCCATTTGCACATATTCTGCATGTACTCTCATAAAGTTAAACAACAATCAATTTTTTATAAAAAAGCTGTAATATACTAAAAGTATTTATTTGTTTGAACGTGCACACTCTAGCTGCGCATATATTGAGTGTAAATAACGTGTAAATTTAGTGGAAAGTGCATTATATATTGTGAAATAGTCCCATACAAGTTGGTGAAAATTACAAACTTTAATAACAAATTACTTAAAAACTATAAGGTTGCGCGCTTTAAAACTTTACATACACCCCCTTTAGAACCCCCTCTCACCCCCCAAATTTTCCTTAATTCCGTAATCGGGGGTTACCATTCTAAAATTTTCCCGATTTCGACATCATGCATGTAACATGTGATCGATAAAGCAGTAGTTGTGCTTAACCGGAGCTTCTACCTCCGATTTGTGCTAATCAGACATTGAACAAGCGGCCCTAAGTCGAAACTAATAAATTTGCAACTTAAATTTAAGTACCAACTTAAAATTCACTTCTATTCATAGTCGCATTTCAGACTTCTACTAAGTAGTTTTAACTTAGTTTTACGATATTGCAAAACGAGTGGGAAAATGTATGATTTTTCTTTACGATATTTTGGAAATATGACATTTTTATTAAATAATGTCAAGGTTGATCATCCGTTTATGTAATTTTTACTGTCAGTGCATGTTTATGCAAAAGAATAAGGTATAAGTTTCATGTTAATTGTGTGGAATAGCCAGAACTGCCGCAATGATGTGAAGTCGATGTTTATCAAAGCATGCTGTGAAACATAAAAACACATATCTAAATGTTATGCACTAATTTGCTCCAAAAGAACCAGCTTGAAATTGGCCTATTACCGCAGAACTCCACAGGCAAACACCGTTGGCCTAACAACTGTCATTTTGACGAGCAATATGATTGCAAGTTTTTTTGTGTGGGCACTTTGATGTCTTGAAATAAGCATTTGCCGAATGACGCCACCAGACAACATTCTCTCAATTTCGGTGTTTAAAACCATTTAAATCTTTAAAAAACTTGCTGAATAACTTCCTAAAACGTAATCATAAATAATCCAATAGGGAACAGATTTTTATTTTGATTTAATATAAAAATTTCATCGAAGTTACCACCAGCACGCTTTCTTTCAAATGAAAATATGGCTGTCAAACTATCAAATTGCCTGCAATAGATGTCTAGCAATAAGCGCTGACATATATTGCAGCCCATGAGAAATAGGCGGTCTCCATTGGAAATATATTTTGTGACATGGCTATTACGACATCAGTGTTTTCCTGTGGAGACAGGGCCTTATTTGAGCATTTATAGTTATATGTAAATCATTCCAATTATAAAATTATGATGTAGCCTTATTCGAATTGTAATACGCATTTAATTTTATCGATTCAAATGGATCGCTCTTTGTAAATTTCAATTGGGGATTATTCAATATTATCAAAATCACGCTCTGCCAACTTAATTTTTACATATTTCGTCTTTTTTCCTTAATTTAATAAAATTCTTCTCCCTAGTTACGACTTAACTGCAGCTGCAGCCGAAACTAAATTTTAAGTTGGTACTTAGCCAGAAAAGTCGAAACTAAGGCGACTATGAATAGCTTTAGTTGTAACTTAGGATAGTTTCGACTTAGTTTTGAACTAAATATGACTATGAATATGCGCCATGGACTTTCCGATATACATCAACTTTTCTGTGCAATGTACACTGTACCAAAGAAAGTAAATCTATAGGAAGAGACAACACGTTAAAATTGTAACGAGTGGGAACATCAGGATCGTGCTTTCTCTTTGGTCCAAATACTTTTTGTGATTGGATGAAAAGAGAACGCACGCTCCTGATGTTCACACTCGCTACAATTATAATGTTCCCACGACAGTCGGGTCTACGTAACCGGAACGACCCAGATTTATATCTGGCCAAGAACTGTCACTCCAGCAACACTCCCCAAAAACCCTTTGGGGAACTTGTATGTTGCAACAACAACAACAACATAACGTGTTGTCTCCTCTTATAGATTAACATTCTTTGACATATAAATATTCACATATAAATATTATCTCAATCAAAGCTGGTTTCTTAATCACCCCGTTTACACAGGCAAATCTCAGATTATTAGCCGTAAATTTTTTTGTGCTTGTTTTTCTCACATCTCAAGGAAAGTTTATGTTTCCTCTCTGTACCACCGTGATCACTTTTTTCTGCTATATAAAGCAATTTAAATACGTTTTAACTTAATATTTTATTCAAACTACCTTTACAAACCTATTTTCCTTGCTAGCGCCCATTTTTGTTTACTTTTATATTTGGCATTTCTCCTCTTCTACGCAAAAGTAATAGATAAAAGCAGATTGGACACCGAAAAATTATCGGTTAAATCTGAGATTATTTTATAATTACAGATTAACAAGGAACGAGTTTCGTATGGCTAATCTCTTTTTCTAATTACAGATTAGGGAGTTAAGCTAGAAAATGAGGATAATCTGCTTAGACTATGTTCAAACAGGCACCTTATTGGCAATTAAGAACCTTTTCACCAATTTAAGCCTTAATTGTTACCCAGTTTATCATACAAAAATGCAAATTATTAATTCCCAATTAATTATTAATTGGCAATTAATTTGTGTCAGATTCTCTATGCAACCCTGCTAGGTATGTTTAATTTGACTTGGAAGTATGTCTATTGAACAAAAAGCAATCAGCTGTTTGTTTCTGTCCCTCTTTTACAGCTGATATTCCATCAGGGATGGAAAATTTAATTATAAAATTGTACCTAATTTACGGAAAACTTTATCTAAAAGTAGATAGATCAGAGAACGTTTATAAATGAAAAGGCGCATTTTCTGTGTGAACTAATTGCTGCCAGAAATTTTTGAACAGAAATATAATAAGCGCTAGGCAGAGGGGATACTTGCGGAGGCAAGCGCGTGCTTGTGTCGGATCAAAACAAACTCTAAAATAAAAATGGAAGTCAGAACGACAAGTGTAGAGTATGAAGCGGGAAACGGGGAAAGGAGCGGGCTTTTGTACATTCAACATTGAAGATATTAATATTATTATAATTAAATGGTTATGATCATATGTTTAAATTAATATTTACTTGTGAATAATACATAGATATAAATGTGCATATGTACAGGTAAACAAACTATGTACATACATAAATACAAATATGTATGTACATATGCATACACGTACATAATAGATTAGTGTTCATACAAACAAAAATGCAATCGCTTCTAATCACTCGAATCAATCTATGAACATCAAAAACCAAATATGTACTTATGTATGTACATACATACAAATACTACAAATGAAAACATACAGACACTGCGCTTACTATTCCCCGAACTCCCGCTTCTCACGAGCAAGACATTCATTCATAAACGTAAAAACTGCCATTCAAAATTCGTACGCACCTTGCACACTTACCCCGCTACAAACATGAGCCGTCCACAAGTTGATTTTCGTCGCGGCGATGACAAAATCTAAAATTTTATCAACCACCGCGCCGATTGGCAACGAAGTGGCAACAGCGGTCAAAATCCCCCTTCCCTTTGCACACTTCTGGGATCTTAATAACATATTTTTTCCACTTGTTACCGAAATCATGCATCTGCGCCGACAAGTGCGNCAACGAAGTGGCAACAGCGGTCAAAATCCCCCTTCCCTTTGCACACTTCTGGGATCTTAATAACATATTTTTTCCACTTGTTACCGAAATCATGCATCTGCGCCGACAAGTGCGCAAAATCACTTCGCTTTCGTTTCCCCCTTCTTGTCAACGAGTTCTTCTTCTTCTTCTTCAATAACTTCGATGGCGATTGAAATGCAAAAAATTCATTTCAACCACCAAATTATTCTTTATTTTATTTTAGAAATAAATTCATAAAAAGCAACCGCCTCGGGTAGGATATGAACCCTGACAACAACGACAGCAAAGTATCGTTTATCGCCACGCATTAATCAACTATGCCACAGCACTTATTAAAGTTCATGCATCTTACTGGCTACATGTACTATAGATTTTGCAAGTACGAATATCCAATATTTTTTAAAATTCGTTGACATATCTACATTTACGTACCAAAGAATATATGTGCGT